CATGATATACACGCTGAAGCAGGCTGCTTACCAGTTAAACCCAAGTTTATCGGTGGTTATTCTTCTAACAGCAACCATTCACGATTGTGCGTGCAGACGCTGAATTTCGCAATCAACCAAGTCTGTCCCAAGCGGGTGTAGACTGCTATCTTGAAGAAGACAATCCCACTTCATATGGGGGGGAAAAAAATCTAAATGTAAATTTAGACTTCAGAAGCATACTCATATTTATCCATGCTATTTTCTCTATATAAATTATTTTTTTAAAGAAGAGGCCTTTAGACTTGGAATCAGGTTTCATTTTGTGGGAAGGCCGATCTTAAATTCAGTATAATGTTTCTTCCTGGCAAACAGAGCGTTCAAATTAGAACTTTAAAAATCTCGGGACAATAATATTGTGGAATAATTGTCCTAAATGTCCTAAAACGGGGAGCCTGGAAGCATTCCCACCCCTAACTAACAAATGTTGTTAAATTTTTAAAAAGGGACTTGTTTTCTGAAATGTTGTAGGATCATTGCACTAGAAAACCTCCGGGACACCCTTCCAACTCTTATTCTGTTATTAAAATGCAGACAAATTTTATTTATCGGATGCATAGAGTTGCGGGACTAGTGTAGGGTTTAAATTGGGGGGAAGAGAAATGGGGGCAAGGAGGATGCAAGTATAGGTTTGTGCAAGTGTAGGTAACTCAGGTTACAAGAACTCTGCTGGTTAGTAATGTGTTTGTTATGAACATCTGAGATTGGCTGAAAAAGGTAATTTGTTGCTTTTAAGGTCTGTTTTTTCTAAAATGGTTATTTTGCAGCCTACCATGGTTAGGGCTATGAGACATCTGGAAAAGGCAGAAAGCTTCATCCCTTTTATCCTCATGCCTTCTGTCCAGCGGGCATAACTTTAAAATCAAATATTGTTCAGCTTTGTGAGTGTTTTGCGTGGGGTGTTTTGCGCTGTTTTCACTAGGTAATTCAAACTTCTGTGTATTGTGATCTTGTATGTTGTCTGCTTCTTTCTTAAAGGCTTAAATATTCTAAATACAGTATTTTTCAACCTTGGCAAGTTTAAGACACATGGAGAGTCAGCATAGGGGAATTCTGGGAGTTGAAGTCCACGTCTTAAATTTGCCAAGGTTGAGAAATGTTGTCCTAATACATTTGTAGTGCAGTTTTTAAAACAGAAGTAGATTCATAACTGATGAGTTGAAACCATTTTTAATACTTGGTTTCTGATGTTGCTTTTATAATTTTAATATGTAATATGTTGTTCGATAGGCTACAGTAACTCTAAAATATTTATATATAAACAAAAATTATCTAGATGTATATATATGATTTATAGATATAGGTACAGAGATATATAAATCTATTTGTATGTAGAGCTAGGTAATGTTTGGTTTTGTATTGTTTTGTTTTTATTGTTTCAAAAAAAATTGATGTCAATTTTGTTTATTAAATAAAGGCCAAATAATTTTAAAAACTATAAAACAAAAAAAGATCCTATGTTAACATCACACATTAAACCTAGCGATGTCAATCACAGTTTGTCAAGGGAGCCAAATTAGTGGGGTTCACACTAAGCTACAAGCCATGGTTTACAACAATAGGACCAAAGAAACCATATTATTGTTTTAACAGGGTAAGGAACTCAGCAGCAAACTACCAATATGGTATCATTTCATATTATCTACTCCATCAAATAGATAAAACAGTATTTATAGTACGACAAGGATATTATTTTGTGGGACATTGAAAAAAAAAAGGCAAAATGGCAGCCAAACCCCTGTTGAAGCCTCACTTGCAGCTGCCATTTTGACTTTTTTGACCTGCCATGCCTTCTTGGCTCCGTGGGAGAGCACCAACCACTCATTCTGATACAGATAACCGTAGTAACTGCCTTTCATCCAAGACATTAAGGCCCACACTTGTTCTGAGGAATTCTCCATGGCTGCCATTTTGCTAAATATTGGATTTATTTAAGCCAAAGGCCCAGTAGAGCCCAGGTGTTCTCTTCCCATGCTTCAGCCATTGTTTGGTCCAGATTGATCCCATAAGCCACAATTGGCTGGGTTCACACATGACACCACATGCTCGATTGGGGAGGGTCACTTGCTCAGCCTGGGCGACAGCCACCATTGCAAACCATGGCTGAGGAGCTGGCTGCCTGGAGATGACCAGTAAATCACCATTGAAGCAAGCTGTGGCTTAACGCCACGGGAGACCGTTGCGCAACTGGGCCTAGGCCCATGGCAGCCTAGCCAGGATGGCGAACTGTGGCCTGGTGGAA